TGCCTATGGGAATCTACTCGGTGAGATTTAGAACCAGCGTTTAGCACCGGTAAATGATTTTGTGGTGTACAAGAGTGAATAAAATTTTAGTACTTCATCCTGATTGTTAGCTACAGCTTAACATCCTAGTAAGCAATCCCCCGTCGGAACTTTCCGATTTCAGTATAATGCACAACATATGGAGTTTGTCGGCAGTCAAACACTTCTGTATTAAAGCTGCTTCTGGTAAGAGTTCGCTCATGCATGCGGACAACTCAGTCATCAAACAGCGAATCCAGCGTCGTCCACTTCTAACATCTACCAGATGTGTCATATTCAACATCCAGGGAAAAATTAAAAATTTTCAGTTTCAAGCAAGTCAAATTTGTGTTTTGTTGGTCACATAAGTCTATAAGAAACTGATCAAGTCCCATTATAAGTAAGCTAAGTTTTTAGAGAGCGTTCATAAATCTCTTTTAGTTAACCATAAATCAAACTTCTGTTTTTAAGCGCAAATCGTAAAATCTCAAACCCGTTTGGCAGTCAGTTTTTTTACTGATGACCTGGCATATATGACGAAGTAAGCCTACGTAGTCCCATGTTCTGTAGTCGGTCCGACATGTGGCTCGTTTGAGACTACTTTCCGGGTCAGCACAATCCTTTCCGAAAGCACTGTTACAAAATAAACCTTGGCCACCCGCTGTATCAGAGGTCAGTTGCTCTGATAGTGTCTGAATCATCCAGCTTATACGGACGTTGTATCACAGGTCAGGCAACTAATCAAATGCCGAAGTACTTTATTCTACTGCAGGGAACACCAGGAGTTACAGGTATCTACTCAAAATTATCTGTCGAAATTTTATGCACATTTTGACGGTCTTCTGTCCGTAGTGGATATCTTTGTCGACTCAAATGGTAACTTGCCTCTCCGACCAAACCCACAAGCACTGCAGTCGTCAGCGAACCAATACTGCAGGGAACACCAGGAGTTACAGGTAGCTACTCAAAATTATCTGTGGAATGTTTGTGCACATTTTGACGGTCTTCTGTCTGCAGTGGATATCCTTTGTCAAATCAAATGTTAACTCGCCTTTCCAACCAAACCCACAAACACTGCAGCGAACCAGCCCAGACAGCCTCACAGGGTTTAGTTTAAAACTACAAAGCTGAACTGCGTATTCTATCTCAAGAAAACAGTCATACTGGTTATACTGTGGTCTGGCTGTATCCCGGGCCGGCCCATTTTACGAATGCTGTCCCATTAATAAAACTCTTCGTGTCTAACAGTATCTCAGGAAGAAAGCGATTAACGTCTACGGTCCTAGCATTTCAATGTATCTTGTGACTATGTTAGTCTATCTAACTGCAAATCGCTCGATGATGTGCATTTTACTTTCAAACTGTTGATTTTATCCTTTCTAAGGAACCTTCTACCGACCTGTGCTACAAAACAGAATGGCTACCCATAATTCACCTGTTCGTTTTTGCAAATCAGTACTAGTGGTCATACAAAAAGTTAAATCCAAGTGTTTGAAAAAAGGAACTACCAAAGCTTTAAGAATGACAAGTGTACGACGACAAAAGAATCGAAATATATGAATCGGTTGCTGCAGAAAAAGGTTACCCGATGATAACTCAGAAGTGAAGTCGCCAAACATTCCCTTTCGGAACACGGGTAGTTTCGTCGAGTCAAACTTGGTCATTTCCCGTGTTTTGGTGTCTAACTGCCAATTTTAATATTTAACCAAGTGTGAGCATTAGGTAACAAGTCTAATTCATCTATACAAAAGCAACCTTTGGATTTTTTCTTGCGTNGTTTTATTATATATATATATATATGAAATCTACTGGCCTATGTAAATAGTGCACGGCGGATATCAATTCATCGGCACTTTAATGATATGGGAAAGCACGGTGCACCTGGAGAACTATACAAGTGACTCATTCTTTCTAAATATATCCACGTGAACTTGTATTGTAGCGGTGTCCAGTATATGTGCATCTTCCTTAACCAATGATCATCGGGAATAGTTAGCACAGAATATTCTGCTGCAAACTGGCGATGAAAAATAAAGCACAGAAGACAAATCAGTATTATTGATTCTGCAGTGTTCAGTGACTGTAGAACGTGCAGATAATGCTAGTTTCTCACAAAAAACTTACAAGGGATATTAGTTTTTGCCACCCCTTTTGATCGAAAGCCAGACAGCCGTGCGTTGTACACGGTCCCTTGATTTCTTGTTGTCTGTCTGAATACGGTTCCACCGGATCCTAATTTTGTGTCCAATTCACCCGCAGAGAGCTCCGATTTGTGTTGATACTAGGAAGAAAAACAATCAATATCGATTTTGTTAGAACAAACTAACGAATGTGAAAAAGGCAGGCAACCACCTAAAGGTATTAAAGAATTCATACAAGGATACCCAGTAGGTGAAGTAAATGGTACATAGCGAAATACACTCATTTGCAAGCAAATTTGGTTTTTCGAGAGACTCACCTGGAACCCAGCTGAATCCCTTGTTTGTGATGTTTCCAGGCAACTGAATGTGCTGCACCAGGCCAGTTCATATTTCAGTTGGAATGATATTCGAAATATCGCGACACATATTTATACGTAACGCACTACTCATGAGGTCGAAGAATTTTCAGCAACCTTATAAGTATATAAATGGAACATAGTTCTCCGTTAATAATTTATTCTTCACCTAACGTTTCATTTGCTTGTACAAACATATTCTCTCCTTGAAACGTGTCTACTTGCCGTGCAAGCCCGTATCAGCATCCGACTTTACACGAAATTTCACAAGGTATTCACAGCAGGGTGGTGCGTTGCGACCTGTCAGACGCCTACAGCTGGTGGTGCAGTAGGTTCACGGCTGGTTCGATTTGTTTCCATTGGATGATGATCGCTCCATGATTTTGTCTAAAAACCAGTGGCACTCCTATGGTACACCATATGGAATCCCAAAATATTCCACGTCAGAAAATGAATCACAGAATAAACCTACTCATATATTCTGTAGCCTTAATAAAGATCTCAGCATTGATGCCTGTTAGATTATTTGTTGGTTAGGACCACATTGGTCACTATGGATTGTCCATACCTTATCCTCTGTGGGGTTTTCCCGACAAATTTTCCCTTCATCTCATTTTCTGTTATTTTGTTTCGGTGTTTAATCTCTCCTACAATCATTGGAGCATGGTACAATTAGTTGAAAACATATTTGGTTAACGCACACTAACTCTCAGAACGAAGCAGAGCGTCACGGAACTTGTGTACCGAAAAAGGCACTTTCAGACTCATCCCTGTAGCCACACCGCTGGCAATGCAAGCATACCATTTGATTCATAGTCAGATTATTTACATTTATAGCAAGTCAAACAACCTTGAAAAGCATAGCGAGCATCTCCTCAGTCGGTAATTGACAAGTCAGGAGATTCTCGCGCGTTAAAATATGAGATTATCGTACCCTACACATTGATGCGTGCAGTGGATGGCTGCTTCAGAACCGGAGGGTAACCCGACGTTTAATCCAGAGTTTCATCGTGCCGAAACCTCAAAACGATGATTAGGCAGGTGTAATTTGCTCTCCAAAGAATAGTTTCCTCTGAAAATCATTGGGGTGATTTTCATACGCAGATTCTGCTAGAGAACAAACGGCTCTCTGCCACGTAATTCCCTAATATTCTTCCAGAAGGACTAAAATATTAAATGGCCACTGCTGGATACTCGAGATTTCTTCTTATCATTCAGTAAAATCGATAAAAACAACAAAGATATTTCTTCTTGTTGTTGAAAGCGACCCTTTGATCGTTTCGACTGCTGGTAAGCTATCCATTCAGTTTGGATATGGGTGGTGTTGTGACTCATTTTATCGCTCTCAGGCTCTGAAAATCATTGGGGTGATTTTCATACGCAGATTCTGCTAGAGAACAAACGGCTCTCTGCCACGTAATTCCCTAATATTCTTCCAAAAGAACTAAAATATTAAATGGCAACTGCTGGATCCTCGAGCTTTCTTCTTATCATTCAGTAAAATCGACAAAAACAACAAATATATTCCTTTGTTGAAAGCGAAGCGACCCTTTGATCGTTTCGACTGCTGGTAAGCTATCCATTCAGTTTGGATATGGGTGGTGTTGTGACTCATTTTATCGCTCTCAGGTTCGGTCAGCAGACCTACATCCACACCTGGAAATATGACGGCATTTTGTGTACCTGTCTGCAGTGGTTCTCTCACCGTCTAGATGTTACTTTTTTAGCTGACCGGCGAGACCAAAAGCATTTACGTGCCTGCTAACGCACCTTTTGCGTAAGTGTTACTACCGCTTGCCAGTCGAGCGCGTTCATAAGTTTACTGAGTTGGCAGATAACTCAAGCGAATGATTGGCAGTGTCTCGGTTGCCAGATGTAACGGACAACTATAAAAAACACTGTCCCAGGGATAATTTTGAAAAATGTCAAATTTGTGGTGGAATCTGTCTTGCGCACTGACATTTCGATCACAGCTAAGCGATGGTACTGGTAAACATATAATTAAGGAAGAGTGTCGATTTGGAACTTTGTTTAGATAACATTTTTTGAGGCATCGCATTCGCGTTGCATTTAGCTTTTTAGGGAAATTTACGCATGATAGCCAGGAATTTCGCCACCTCGTTTGCATCACAGTAACTTTTCATGCAGTGTTCCTTAGTACGGAACCTCAGATTCCAGGGTAGTCAGATTATTCAGTTTGAACAGGTAAGACGTACAATTCGAAAAATGCTCCACTTTATGGCGTGCCGATCACCCTAACTAGCAATAAATCTCCTGTTTTTTTCAATGCAACCATCATGGCTTGTCTTTCTTCTTAAGTCTTTTTCAACTCGGTTCCCTCCTTTTTGGTCTTTATGTGTTACGGAACCCTTTTTCACACAAATATGGACACAGAGAAGCACATGAAATACGGCACCCCATGTGTGCCCGTAGATCCGAAGATGGCAACATGAAAAACTATCAATCCTCTAGCTTTTCTCTACAGGATGATCTGTCACTATCACTGTCTGCGTCGACAAAATCGTGAGGCGGCCTAAAAGACAACCATGGGAGCACGTGCACAATTAACCTATCAGAAAGTAGCCACGCAGCCAGAAATCTTGCATTGTTGACCATAGTTTGGACAACGGTCACGTCATAGACCCAGCGACGCACCATGATGTCTAAGCCTTTTGAGAAGTCAGTCATAATTTGTGGTCACATCTGTGTTCCATAGCGCAACAAAAATAGCTGTTATTTGGAGCGGTCAATATGATACAGCTATTTGAGAGCTGGTGCTTACACAAAACGCGAATCGATCAGCTGTAAAACCATATTTTTGTATGCGCAGCACACGGAAACGAATATTTCTCACTGGACTCACATCTGTTCAAATTCACACTTGGGGTCAGCTGGTTCTTGATCAGCTGACATTTGATCTTTTCGGGGAGCTTTGTAGAAGACAGATGAAATAGTCTCCATCATGGAAAAATAAGTCAACATTTCACCAATTCCTCCACTTTTGCTTGTATTTATATTTATATAAAGAATACTAAATTTCTTTATGGTGACTGATCGTTTGGAGACATAACTTGGCCGGTCATAGTTGAACTGGTCATTCAAGGATTCCCCGATATAGTTCTTCTCCGGAAACCAATGCGGCGGAAGACCTTATATAGCTTTTTCCTTTTTTCTTCATGTTTGAATTTTCTGGTGTAGTGATGTCTAGCAGTCGTCTAGACGTTTGAATACTGTCCGGATGCACATTCGCTTGTACCAGCTCAGGATTGAACCGGAGTCTTTCGAAACAGTGGTAAACATCCATTAGGAGATATCTGAGAGCGTCACCTGAACGATTCAACAGTACAAGAAAGAGAAGAACTGAATATACTCTACTTCTCCATATACACTTCATTTCCAAGATGACTGCAAGTCTCACGGGAGCAAAACATAACAGTAGCATACAAACCGGCTAGCACATTTTGGAAACGACGATCAAAACTAAATGGAAAAATGAAGCGAATAAAATCTAACTTTGCATTTAGCATTTGATGTAAGGACCGTTATTGTTGGACAAACAGGAGGAAAACTGTCTATGAGAGTGTATGAACACTAAATTCTATCTAAGCGGCACGACCAACTCTCATTCTTCTCCGTATACGAAGCTCAGAAAAAGCATAAATTTAACTGAGAAAATGTCCGAATACTAGTTTGAGCAAAAATAAACGACAAACGGAACTTTACGGAAGTTGCGTTCTCAAATGAGTAGGCCAATAATAGACACACTGGGATTTACCCATTCTATCAAATTATCAGGATCGAAGAACTCCGCGACAATGGAGCTAAACACCGTAAAAAGTCCAGAGGGGGAAACAATAAAAGTTGTTAATTGGATAAAATCATTATCACCGAAGCGCACATTCGATTCACCAAATCCGAAGAACTAACAGGATAACGCGGTTAAATTGCATCGAAAGAAAATTTGCAATCAGGGAGGTCGGGTAGATCAGAACACGGCGTAACAGAATTGGAAAACGGGCCAGTTGACCCAGCAGATAAAGCTACTAAAAATTAATCAGATATCAAAATAGCTGACTGAGACTCGCCAAAGATGAACTGCAGAACGGGCCAAACGAAAATAAAACTATTGAAATGAAGGTGCTCAACGAATCAACTAGACGCACGGTAAACGGGCCAGGAGGCAACCAAAATTCTGAAGAGACGAGTCACACTGTCCACTGGCAAACCGTCAGATACCACACATTACAAATAATAAACGCTCTTTGCAGAAAAATATAAACCAGCACAGGTTTGAGGAGACTGCCCACCTAGGCATTCAGTGGCAATGCTTCCTCTCATGATGACATGAACAGATCGAACTTCCTCCGACATCAGCCAATGAACTCACCCCAAATATCAACGCTCAACTTCTGGTTAAAAATCTTCAGGAATATATTATAAATATTTTGTCTGCCAATTTACCCCTGGCGCCTCCGTAGGTGGATGGTGTACATTTGATTTATCGCGTTGTTGTTCTGCCGTTCAAGATGTATGGGATGTTAATTCCGTCACCGAATTCACACTTGCGGATGAGCCGTATGAACTACTTTGAGCAGGAGAAGTGTACGTTGCTATTGATTGCACTGGGTAAACGGAAGGACGGGTCGGAGGAACCGCGGTTGCGGAAAAGTAAGGATTTATCGAAGTAGATTACTGAATATG